GAGAGCCACGGACGGGCAGATCAGGGCAGGTCCTCTAAAGCCCTCCCACCTCTGGTGAGGGATGTATCCGAGGCAAGAATTTTTACTATAGGACATACTTCCACAAAGGGAAGAGACAGTGAAAGTTAGGTAGGGCCCAAGTCAGCCAAGCATTTTGAGTGTGTGTCTAAGTCTCACTGATTGTAGCAGCACTTACATGGCAGTCTGCGTGCTTTGCAAAAAGTCAGTCCCCACACCCAGAGTGAAACCAAAAGGCAGAGCTAGAACAGCAGCTTTGTTTTAAAATGAACAAATAGTGAAAAAATCACTATTTACAGCTGCTATCTAAACACAGCAGCTGCCCATCTAGCAATGAGTTCCACGAGTGAACTACAGTCTTTGTAAAAAAAAAAGTATTCTCTTAGTTTTAAATCTGTCTCCTGCTAATTGAAGTGTTTGCCCCCTAGTTGTATTATTCTGGGACTCAGTGAATAGCAGTTCCCTATTGACTTTGTTCGAGGCCCTTTCTGATTTCATAGACCTGCCATATCCTCCTCCACATATCCCTCTTTCATAAGAATAGTACATGTACAGAACCACCTGACACACTGTTAACTACAACATTAACTACTCAGAAACTGCTAGCCATAAATGGAAATGAGCCAGTCAGCTTCTACTAAAGATTTCTGGTAATGCAGGGGATGATGGAGCAAGCCTGGATTATCTCAGATCAATAAATAACAAAGCAGTGCTGTTAGTTAGAACAAGAGAGGAACATGCACATTCAACTATTGCATAATCAGTGGTGGTCCATGAACTAGCATAAAGGTTTATTACTGCTGATGCAGGGTAGGAAGGGAAGCTTACATGCTCTTCTTCTTCCCCCCTGGCAGACATCATCCTCAAATTGAGGGATAGCCAAAGAATATGCTCTCCTAACAAAGAGTCCAAGAATGTCCAAAGTCTTGTGAGCCAAAAAGAAAAATCAAGGGAGAAGCCGATTTAAAAGTAAAACTAAAAAGCTGACCCCCCTCCCCAAATAGGTAGCATGAGGTGCAAGTATCTATTGCCTGCAATTGCCCACATGACTGCACAGAGCCTGATTGTTCCTCTTCCCTCTTTTAGGGATTGCAATCCCAGCACACAACTTTCAAGAATCAAGGGGACAGGTCGGGGGAGAAGCACACATTTGCATTCAAATGCAGGTGAGGAAGAGCAAAGCATCCCCTTTTGAAAGCTGGTTGAAATGCTAGACTCCCCTGCCAGCCATCTCAGGCCCTTGCACAGCTCTGTGGAAAAGTATTACTGCTGGATTACATTTCTAGCAAAACAACAGCATCTCTTTATCCCTCAGACAGATGGCAAGTTTCATCTGTGCTCATGAAGGTTTGGGAAGCGGGTAGCACTGGTGTGGGTTAAGTCCCGCCTTTCCATTTTCTGCCCTGCAGAAAATTCTGGGTTATGTAAAGCAGCTTCTGACCTCCACCAGCTCTCTCCGTCTGAAGCAGGGTTGGTCTGAGTTGGGATTTGCACGGGGATACGCAGCAATGGTGCTCTTTTCTTGTACAGAAAATGAGAGGGTTGTGCTCAGGAGGGCTGCCCCCGTCTTTCAGACAAGAAGGGAGACCGGGAGCCTAACAAGATCATTATAAATCCCATGGCCTATTTCACATGTATTCCCCCAATGCCCTAGCCAAGCTGCTGCGTAGGGAACAGATTCTGAGGTTGCAAATTCCTTTGCAGTTTCAACTAGATGCGGCAGTCTTTGCTGCTTGCCTTGAAATGTGGGTACGGTGCACACATCATCATGCCACAGGGTTGTGTAACCCTGACCAGCACCACGAGGCCAGCAAAGACAGCCCTTAGCCCCCACCCTTAGCATTGCTTTCCTGAACCTCGGGCACTGCTCCTCAGCTTTCTGCCACCATGAATAATTAAAGGTGTTTGCTGACTGCTGCCTTTCACAGTCTTCCCAGCTTAGGAAAGATCTGGGGAGATTGGCAGCCCAGTCTGCAAGCAATTCTCCTTCAGGCTGGTGAGAGCAATGGGTATCCATCTCCCAGGTACTGAGACATGATTAAGCCTGTAGGGTCAGCAGTCTCAGCACATCCATACCCTCTTTTCATAAAGTCATCCTTGGAAACCAAAGCCAAGCCCAAAAGCACTTAACTATACTTCAGTCACAAGTCACACCTCTTAAAAAAGAAAGCCTGCAGTCCCATGTGCTTGGTCTTTCAAAAAAGAGCACCACCTGTTTTTTGAACATACGGCCCTATCTCAGGGTCTATACAGAGAGGCAAGGCTGCAATGTCAAAATGAGCACGAGAGATTTGGAAAAAATAGGATTTTTTTTTAAAAAAGTCTTGCGATAAGAACATAAGAATGACCATTTACTGGACCAGGCCCTAGGTCCATCTTGCGCAATATTCTGTGTCGCACAGCAGCAGAGGGGATGCTGAAAGGGCAAGTGCACTGGGTGGGATCAGGGTTGTCTCTTACTTGCAGCCTCCAGCGTTTAAAGTTTCAGAGGTTCTGGTTCAGGGGCTGTATCCCTAATTCCCATGCTAAATAGCTACTGATGCCCTTTGATCACGGGAATCAGGGATAGTGATTGGTGAAGGGATAAGGGATAGTGATTAGTGAGGATCACATGCTGGAGTACTTGTTTGTTGTGGCACTACCCAGCAAGGCTGCGGACCAGGATGGCTGTACATACGCAGTGAACCCATGCCCTGCCTCGTATCCAAAATAGCAAAGATAAGGCTGAGATGATCCCTTATTTACTATGATTTCAGGAATGTGACGTGGCACCCTCGGAATGAATTTGTGCCACCCTCTCAAACATGGCACTAATTGCATCATTATGAAGTGACATTGTGATGCAACCCAGTGTCCTGACATGGACTTCATAAGTTATTTCAAGACTGCTTGGGGATGTAAAGAGAAACACCTGCTGTTGCTGCTATTTGTGCACATCATACCACCCCAGCAGGATCACATGGCACAACTAGTAATGTCCGTGTGGTCGTCCTGTCACTAAAGACAGGGGTTGTTACAAGTCAGAATCGAGGCATAGAAGCGCACTGGCACAGTTGCCTGGCGGAAGCGCCCACCACAGCCCACTGCCCTAAATCGCACACAGGTAGGACCTTTCCATGTACGGTTCTTTGCCTAGCAGTCATTCTGCATCACAGCTGACTGAGCGGCTTCTCTTCCCTGCTTGCTACTTGTGAGCAAACAGTGAGGTAGAGCTCAGAGATGGGGAGACGCAGGACCCAGCACCAGACCCAGAAGAGCAGTCAGCAGGTCAATGTGCCAGCAGGCAGTGCTAGCCCTCACCCTGGCTCGACTGATTCAGCTCAGGGCCTGGCTTCCCAACAACTCCCAGGCAAAATAGTCTTTCCTCTGTGTTGAAGTGTGCTCAGCGGCCCAGGGCCTTGCTTGGAGCGTGTGATCTGCAGCAAGCCCGGGGCTCACCACCTTCCCAGAGTCTCAGGCCGGACTGGCACCAAGTGTGAGGTGTAGGTGTGCAGCCCAGGGGGCGACGGGTGCAAAAGCAAACCCAGTAACTGCTGGCTCTGCCCCAGATCCCTGGTTCTCCATCTTTTTGGATGCCAGACACCCCTGGGTGCCCCCGGCTCCTTCTTCCCCTGGGGTGCACCCCCGGAGCAGCTCTTCTGCAGCCGGCGATCAGCTCAGAGCAGCCGGGGCGCGTCAGACGCCAGCTTCCCGCAGCATTTACCTTGCCAGTCCCGCCGGCCTCCAGGCAGTAAAGCCGGCGGGA